TAGTAGTGGTAGTAGTAGTACTAGTGCGAGAATGCACACGAGTACTCGTACAAAGGCGCCAGAGGAGCCCACCCCCTACTGTCTACTCCAACGCCCAGTTTCGTGCCTCCGGTGTCGGGTTGGAGAGAAGTTCTTCCAGAATTGCAATGCCCACCTGTGACGGATTTTCTTTGTAACAACAGCAACAAGTTTGAGTTATCTCGCGGACCATGTCTGCGCGAACAACTCAAACGAAACCTGCGCAAAAACACATGTGCCTGTCATCTTGTTGGCTGTGCAATGCAAGTACTTGGGCGCACTCCGCCATCGATGCTTCAGATTAAGTCTCGACAATCTACCGTGCAACGGTTCCTTCCTGATGCGGCGTAAGTGCTTGGGTTCTAGATTTCGCGCTTGAATTTCTCAGGGTTCCGGCATGCATGCTCGCTTCCCAAGTCACACTAGACAGTGCAAGCTATGGCGGCTCGGGCATGGATGCTCTCTTCCCAAGTCGCACAAGACACTAGACTATGGCGTTATCATAGTTCGGGTACGTATGCTCTCTTCCCAAAACGCACTCTGGTAGCACGTGAACTTTATCATCCTAAGGGAATACCCTGTCCTATTTAGGCTTTCTAAGACCTTTGTTCGGAACAGCAGCCCGCCTCTAAACCCAAGCACGAAAACACGGCAAACATGAAGAAAGTAACAAGCAAACAAACGTTTACAACCCAAACTCGATACATGAAAAACCGCCAAAACTAAGAACTCGAGAAAGTCTGAAAACTCACACCCAAACACGCCTGGGAAGCGGACAAGGATAGTCAACAAAAGCGGTATATCAAACTTTGTAACAGACACTGAGAAAACCTCGACTGGAAGGCCAGAAGGAGACGAAAGTTGAGAACGCCTCCCAAATAGATACGCAAAGCAGAAAAAGACTAAAGTGCGGGTGACCAAAAAGCACATCGTCCACCACCACTACTGCTGCTGCTGCAACTACCACCGCCACCACGACGACGACGACTGCTACTACGACGACCAGGCAAAATGGATGCAGGGTTTCGAAACGGCTATGTTACAAGGACACTATCCGCCTATTCTTAGTGTGTCCCCCTCTACTGTAACGGCTACTGTTATTTCTAGCATTCGTTGCACTGTGTGTCCCTCACCGCTACGATGTTCTTTGGCTTGCGCCTCGCAAGCACAGAGCACTGATTCGATGGGTGGGAGCCTTGCTGGCAAGCATGCCGCGGGAAAGAAGTCCGCCAACCAGCTTGATATTGCCGAGCATGTGGGTCTTGTAGCCTCAATGATATTGCGACACTGGGTCGCACAGGACCGGAACCCTATGTGTGCACTTGAATCTCGGCTACACAGCAACGTATTCGTGAGTGTGTCTGCGTCTGTAGATGTACGTATGTATAGATATATATATATACTGTATGAATGTATGTATGCATGTAGGCAGGGCAGGCAAGCGGTCGAGCGGGCGGGCTGGCAGGGCAGGCAGGGCGGCAGACAGGCAGGCAGGCAAGCAGCTGGGTAATCAGGTACGTAGCTACGTCAGTAGGTACTATTGGTAACCAGGCTGTAGTATGTGTATGATGCAGTAGGCTTGCATGGATGTTCGTAGGCCACACACTCGCCCATTGATGCGGGGGTACTGAGACATACATCAAAACGCACTTTCCGATGCTTCCTGGAAACCTACTTCCGCAGCCGTTCGGTCTGCTGGCGTCAGCTCATCTAAGCCCTGGGACGGGTCAGGAACGAGGAGGAGGGGTGGGGCTGACGAGGGCTTCTCGCCAGAGGCCAAACTCTCCTCCTCTCGGACTTCGGGCTTCTGGAAATACGGGTGTTAGGGAAAGTTTAGGGTTTCGGCGCTCGCACTCGGACAATCCAGGCGAGGCATATGGTTCGGGGGTCAAAGAAGTGAAACAAAGTTTAGGGTTTAGGGTTAGGTTAAGTAAGGGGCGAGAAGAGTGCAGAGGTTTGTTTTGCTGCAGATCCTTCCCGAAACATGTCAAACGAGGTGTTAGCTATAAGGCGCAAAAGCTCCATCACTTTACTGATGATGACGGTCGTCCCTCGCAACTTGCCACACAAGCAAATCTCTCAAAGTATCCGTAGATATCTACACTCTACCAAAAAACAGAACGCGTCGAAATACGGGCCTGCGTTTTGAAGCTCTCTTTTCTCCATACTATAGGCTCGGATGTTGCAACAGTCTTGCATCTGTTTGTTTCTATGCACACGAGCAAAGTTCTTGAACAATCACATATGTTGTCTGATCTGAAAGCTCCTGCGGGAATAACGCGCGTGGATAGTGTCTGCAACATTAGATAGCCTAAACCACAGAGCCAAAAGGCCTGGAGTCCCTGGCCCTGGCCCTGGGGAGGGGGGGGGGAAAGATAAGCCAAAATGCCTGAGAATCATAAAAGATATACTGAACATCGCTTCTTTTACTCGAAAAACACGGGCCCGTATTCCGACGCACCCTCCACAAAAAAAGTTCATACCAGCCCATAAAGACAGGGTCCTGATTCTTCAAATCATCATTACCAGACCTTAAAATCCTTAACCTGTACCTCGCAAGATAAACGTATGAGTAGCTCTCTAAGATAGGGCCCCTTTTCAGTTCCCAAATATAGTACGGCACCCTCATAAAAAGGACCCCAAAAGGGACCCTAATTCATAGCAAACTACTCATACGAATCAAAAGACGGTCTCGGTAGTTTTCTAACTCAGGGTTCCTTTCTTAGGGTTTAGGGTCCCTTTTGGGGGTTTAGGGTTTAGGGTTAGGGTCCCGTTTTAGGGTTTAGGGTCCCTTTTTTAGGGTTCCGGGTTTAGGGTTAGGGTCCCTTTTTTCGGGTTTAGGGTTTAGGGTTAGGGTCCCGTTTTTTTTAACACTCTCACAACTCGGACAAGCCAGGCGAGGATCCACAGGTGCATAAGTCGGCGTGACACTGCAAGCTGCCCATGCATTTATGGTTTAGGGTTAGGGTGCCTTTTTTATGGTTTAGGGTTAGGGTGCCTTTTTTAGGGTTTAGGGTTTAGGGTCCCTTTTTTAGGGTTTAGGGTTAGGGTTGCTTTTTTAGGGTTTATTTTTCCCACCCGCCCAGCTGACAAGTCGCACCGCAGGGATGACTTT